AAAGCCTGGGCCTCTTTGGAATGTTTTTGTTGGTCTGGTTTAATTAAGTCAGTGCTCTCTAGGTCATCTGTCCTTAAATCTGTTTTCCTTCCTTAGGCTGACAGTGAGATCAAATGCCCAAGTCAGGGCTGATGGACTCAGCAAATCCCTAGTTTAAGCATGTCCTAGTACCTCGCTCCTCAGTGTGGTCCTCGGACCTGCAGTGTCCATATCACCTGGGAGTGGGTGAAATACAGATTCCCAGGCTCCATTTAAACACGGTCCCCAGGTGACTCACCTGTATGCTGAAGTTTGCAAAGCACTGCTCTGGCAGGCAGGTCATTGCCAGATAGATTCTTCTGGTGGAGCCCAAGTGGGTGCGCAGCTACGGGAGGAGTTTTAATCACACATTTGACTTCATCCCTTGGGCAGGCATGCTGTGTGATACCTCACCCCATTTTATGGATCATCGTCTGTAGACTGGGGCTCAGAAAGGGCTCTGAATTTGTCAGCAAACTCAGTGTTCTGCAGGGCCCTGCAGGCTGCCGGTTTTCACGGCGTCTGATTTAGAACTGCTGTTTTCTCCAGACTGCAGGCCGAGGGGGCCCCTGAGTTCCAAATGTGAATCCAGCCCACAGCATTGTTTTCCTGGCTTTGAACTTCAGCTATCTGCTATCAAGGGGCAGCAAATGAAGTCTGAAAGATTCCTGTTCCATCACTGCAAAATGCAACACTGAAATACTGGCCTTCAGCGTCAAGAGCGGGTGTTCCTATTCAAAGGCCCCACCGAGAATCTGACGAAAGCAAGAAGAAATCCATACCGGTGCATCACTTGAGTTTTAGGGGTTTCAGAGTCTCCTGGAAGCTCATCTATGGATGCAGGGTTGAAGGGTCCCTGCTGAAAAGGCAGCGCCAAGGAGTGCCAACCAGGCGGCGGTGTAGCTGAACGCAGGATGACCCTGGTAAGTAAAACAGCAACCCACCCCCACCCCGCATCCCACCTGGCCTTAGCGCTCCACCTTAGAGAAAGGGAGGCCCAAAGAAGTCTCCCTCACTCCAGTAAACATTACTTCTTAGCCTGCAAGATAAGAAGTCATCCCTAAAAATTCCATCTCCATGTGCCCTGTGTGTTCAAGCAAGCATTTTTTCAAAAAGGTAGCATGAATCAGAGCTTTTCCAAGGGATTCAGTAAACCCATTTTTCCCCCTAAAAGCAAGAAAGGCCAAGGTTGGTCATTTATCCCGCAGAAGCAGAGCACCTCTAAAATAAACGTTCCCTTCCGTAGTTGGAAATGAATTGATGACAAGGAGGGGCGGGCTTCGTTCTTTAGGGAGATCCTGAACACCTGATGCAGAATGAAGTGGGTGTGACGACTAAGCCTGAAATAGCTTCATTAGCATTTCAGACGGGGGCAAGGTAGGTGTAGGTGGTGTGACTTTTGGCTGGAGACTTCTGGAAAGCAAATGGGGAGGAGGGAGGAAAAGCCACTTTCATATCACCTAAAATTATGTTCCCTACAGTGTAGAACCACACTTTTATGTAAAAATGTAAGCGCAGGTAACACAAGTAGTCAGCACAGAAAAAAAGTCTTGCTAAAAAACTCCGTAAGAACACAAACTACTGAAGATCAAAATTCCTAGGCCTTTAAGAGACGGTTAAAGTAGGGGAAAAAAAATGCCTAAGCTCCATCAGCAGACTGTTTCAGCACAGTGAGCTGGGATAGCAAATGGATCTACTGGTGGAAGCAAACGGGAAGGAAGGAAAGTTCTCGCTCACGCTGTGAAAACACACAGATGGAGATTAAGAAAATCATTTGCTTTAATGTTTGGTCCTCCATCGTCCCAGTGTTGCTCTTCTCAAAGGGTAAACGAGCTCCGCATCATGACGGCGGGTTGAGGTCTCCGGTCAGGGGAAGAGGAAGGGCAGCCCCGGCGAGCGGAGGGGCCCCGAGCATACACAGGCGTCCTGCTTTTCCTTCTAAAGTGCTTGAACAGAGCTGCTGGGCCTCAAAGACAGGTCCTGTCTCGCAGTGGGCTGCAGATGGGAGCTCCTAAGGAGAGCCAGCCCTGGAGAAGGCTCCAGCCCTGCAGGGACAGCAGCATCCCTGCCCTTGGGCCAGAGCTTGCCCCAAGGACCCCAGATTGAAGGAATAGCAGAGGTGACCCCACCATGGACGGAAGGTGACCCACTATGCAGAGTGGTTTACTCTGCAGACCCCGCACACAAAATACGGGAGCATCGGGCATCCCTGCAGTACTTGTGGAGACTGAAAGTTCAGATCTGGAACTTTCTCTGGGGTGACATGGCAGCCTTTTCTTCCTCCTCGCTGTGCTCTGATGACAGCCATGGCGAGCCCAGGTGCTGGGTGGTCATCACGGGTGCGTCTCACTGCCAAGACTCTGCAAAGAACAACATGCACCTTATTGATATGCTTATGGATAAATGTACACCCAGCACGTGCTGCCCACAGGCAGTCCTGGACCATTTGGCACAGGTGAGAACCAGACTCCTTTCCCGAGGACATCTGGACAGCCCTTCATCATTGAGCAGACTCGAGTCGGTCCTGGCACAGGGGTCTCAGCCTGGTACCCAATCCCTCTTGCTCTGCAAGGCGAATTTAAGTAGAGTGTGGACATAGATGTTGTCATGGTATCCATTATCATAACTAACCTAAGACACCACTCATTCAAATGAAGCTAGATGTTAAAGAGTGCATCCATTTGAAGAAAAGTACGAAGTTAATACCAGTACAGATGGTCTAGAGATGGAGCAGATGGCAAGAGAGGCATGGGACCGCCTGGGCCGACGGCACATGGAAATGCATCGGGCGCTCTCACCACTGGTACCAGGGGCAGGTGAGGTTTGGCGCTGGGATCCTCCTGCCTGCTGGGAGTTCAGGAGGTGGCCTACCTGCTCGTAATCTTCCACATATTTATATTTCTTCTCCCGATAGTAGTATCTCTTCTTCATGCAGTAGAGGACTATGACGTCACACAGCACTGTTGCCTGAGTGCAGCACAGGGCGAGAAAGAACGAGCCAGGATGCTTGGGCCCCTCTTACTCCGTGCGCGCCCTTCCCGCGGAGCCTGGGGTCTTTCAGGGAGGAGGTTAGGCCTTAGGGGCGAGATCTTGGAGAAGTAAAGGTGGAGGCTGGTGGGGATGGGGAAGGGGAACAAGTCTGGGGTCAAGAGGAAGAACTGGGACGCCAGGGGAGGGTGTCAGCTCGCCGTGCTAACCACTCACTGAGGAGGGCCCCAGCCCCGGGGGGTGGCCAGAGAGGTCTGAGTCACTCACCACCCCTAAGAGCGCCAAGCCGGAGCCAATGTTGATCATGGTTGGGATGATGTCAAATTTCCCGGCCTGCAAATGATGGGAGAAAAAGAAAAAGGAGTTGGGTGGGGGTGGGGAGAAAGCCCCTCCGCTCTGGGCAACACAGAGAAGGACCAGTGGGCTCTGAATGAGGCAGCCAGCGGCCCCGCTACCTTTCCAAACACGATGATGTCGAAACGGATGCCGTAGGCTTTGGTGAGTGTGCGGTGCTCGGTGCCGGTCGGGTCGTGGTAGTACTTGGCAAACCTGGGAAAGGAGACCGGTTAGAGGGAAAAGGCACAGGGCGGCTGAGACAACGGCCGACCTGCTTGCTGCAGAGGCCCGGGGCAAGGGGTGTCGGGGCGGAACTCCCGAGGCTCTGGTGGCGTGGGCATAAGATTCCCTCTGCCTGTTGAGCGGACCACAC